TCCAAGCAGTGACCCAGAATGCATTTGACTGAAAGGTTTCACTGGGATTTGCGGACAAGACTTCCTTCACCTGGAACTGAGAGAAAAGGCTCCATGTCATCATGGCAGAAAAAATGAAGTACAAGTTGCTTAAAAATAGAGGATAGTGGAAAACTCTCATTTACTTGCTCTTATTCAAAATAGAGTTGGGCATGGTGGTTCACTACTGTAATCACAGCACTTGGGAGTCCAAGGCAGGAGGATCTCAAGTTTGAGGTCAGCCTGTGCACAGTGAGACCTTGTCTCAAAACAAACAAACACAGGGGGAAGAAATGAACCAAGCCTTGTATGCACATATGAAGAATAAAAGAAAAATGAAAAAAAATGAAAAACAAACAAACAAACAAACAAACCAAAACAAGTCATCAGGCCAGACCTGTGTTATGGACCAAAATGCCCAAATCACGCCAATATTCATTTTTGGCTTCTGTCCTATAACTGCAATGCATATCTTCCACCACTAGATGGCAATCTGGTTTTAAAGCAGATTTCATGCAAGCAAATAATGGTGTTCTAAATTGTTTTCAACCTCTCAGGTTTGGGGAAAAGTCTCATAGCACTATGTGTGAAATCTGGACGTTTTAGCCACTACTGGTGGGAGTGTAAGTTAATATCACTGTTTTGGAGAGGAATTTGGCAGTGATGCTCAAACAGTGACCCCAGCAGGGACAGGTTTGATTGCTGATAATGATGACTAACATTTTGTTCCCAGTGTGAGGCAGGCACTGTTCCAGATGTTTGCCTCATTTAGTCCTCACAACTCTAAAGTGTTATTATTTCCCCTCAATTAAAAGGAGGAAATCAGGTCAGAAGGTCAGGTCCATGGTCACAGAGCTAGTGAATGGCAGAGCCATGACCCATACCCTACTTTCCACTATATTGTGTGTGCCTTGTATGTATGGGAAAACTTGGACAGAGTGTTCACCACAGCATTGTTTATAGAGCAAAACATTCATTGTTAACTTAATATTCATTAATGTGACAATAAAGAATGAGGGATGCTGCAGAACAGTTAAAAACAATGCACTTATATCTGGAAGTGCTCAACCTCAATGGATTCTATTTTTTTTTTTTTTTTTTTTTGTGGTGGGGACTCGGGTTCTGAACTCAGGGTTTCATGCTTGCTAAGTAGGTACTCTACTGCTTGAGCCACACCTCCAGTCCATTTGCTCTGGTTATTTTGGAGATGGGCTCTATTTGCCTGGGTTGGCCTCAAACCAAGATCCTCCCAATCTCAGACTCCCAAGTTACTAGGATTACAGTGGTGAGCCACCAGCACCCGCCTCAACCTGGATAGATTTTAACAACAAATGTTGAGGGCTGGGGGTTTAGATCAGTGGTAGAGTGCTTGTCTACAATGTATGAGGCCCTGGGTTTGATACCCAGCATGGCAAAAAGAAAAAAAAAAAAGTTGAGACAATATACAGCAGGGCGCCAGTGGCTCATGCCAGTAATCCTAGCCACTCAGGAAGCAGAGATGAGGAGGACCATGAGAGAGACCCTATCTCTAAAAAACCCTTTACAAAAAGGGCTGGTGAATGACTCAAGGTGTAGGCCCTAAGTTCAAGCCCCAGTACCGGGGGTGGGGGGAAACCCTAAAAACACAAAAAGCAAAACTTTCTTATTCATGGAGACCAGCACATGCAGTAAAACTACATAGGATACACTGGAAAGATACACACCCAATTTATGCTCCTGTTTGTACCAGGGGAGGGGCAAATAGGATTAGGCAAACACAAGGGCTTTTATCTATCATATTGCATTTATTTTCTAAGAATCGAAAAGGAAAAATCCCAGACATTAACCCAGAATGTCATTTTATGATTGCATCTTCACAAATGCAAACTATCATTGTCAAGGCAACATACAAACTTTTTGCTCAATCGGATCATCCCCCCAGAGAAATTCTCTCAAGTTCCCTACTGTAGTATTAAAACCTAAGGGTTAGACTTTGAGCAGCAGAGCTTAACTCTGAAGCCTCTGGGGCGAGGAGTCATTTCTGCCTTTTGCTTTAAGAATGCTTTTCTTTGGGTACCAGCTCAAACAACTTAAGTGTGCTTTTAAAAACAGAAGTTCCCACTATTCCCTTGCCTCACTTTTCTGTATGTCGGGGGAGGGGAAAGGGGAGGTTATAATCAAATGTTTAATAGCTCAGGTGGAAAGCTGCAATGATTAGAACAAATTACTGCTCTGTAACTTCAGTAGGCAAATTGGTTACCTAGAAACACACTGACTTCCCACTAACACTCTTCCTGTATTTACCAAGGTCAACCGTATGAAACCACAGGTCACATGTTACCAAGTTTTCCTGGAATTATAAAAGTTTCATAGAAGTCAATGTTCTCAGAATATCACGGGCTAATGGCTCCAAAGAAGAGGCTAAATCTGAAGGGGGTAAAAAAAGCTGTATTTTTCTTGCTTTTGGAAGAAATTGAAAATTGGTTTTTAGTGTTAGCTTGAAGCTTTCATCAGATGCTAACTGCATTAATGAATAGAATTATATCGGTCTGTTTTTGCAGTGCTGGGGATGGAATCCAGAGCCTTGTGCTGTACCACTGAGCTATGTCCCCATCCCTGAATTGCATCAGAAAGGGAATGCAGTTAGCTCTGCCTCAAAATTAATGACAAGGCTTCATCTTGGACTTACATGAGGAAGCCTGAGAGCAATACACACCTCCTTTAAAACTTTAAAAATTATCCTTAACTAGAAAATTTCTCCTTGTTGTGATCCCTTAGTCTCATTTCATTTTTTTTGGTGATCCTGGGGTTGGAACTTAGGGTCATGCTTGCTAGACAGGTAGCTACTCTACCAGCCCTTTTTTGTGTTGAGTATTTCTGAGACAGGGTGTCTTGAACTATTTGCCCAGTCTGGCTTCAAACTGAAATCCTTCTGATCTCTGTCTCCCAAGTGGCTAGGATTATTAGCTCATACTGGCACCTGGCTCATTCCTTTGGATCTGAATATACCACGTATTGCTTAGAGGAAAAGGTGGTATCCAAAAATTAGTAACATATAATTATCAATTCTTTAAAAATTATGATTCATTTAGAAACTCAAATTTGGCTTTCTTCTTCTGTGCCTTAATAATACTGCCTTTTTTTTTTTTTAATAAAAAAAAAGACAGGGTTTCACTGTTGCCCAAGCTGGTCTGTTCCTCGGCTCAAGGGATCCTGCTGCCTGAACCTTCTGAACACGAATGTAGGTAACTTTGTAAAACTGTCATTTCCCTCTCAGAGGATTGAGACTTCTTCAGTCTGTGAGATTGTAGGAATATCAGGATCGTTGAGAAGCTGGTGGGGCCCTTGAATGCTTCCAAGGAAACAGGCCCAGGGATGTGCCTTGTTATACCAATCACATCTTCCTGGTCACTCTTCTGAAGGTCTTGGTCATGGGACTCTTCAGGCCACCATTAACTTGGGAGGTTCCTGGCTCAAAGTGAAGGTCTGGGTTAATTTATATTAACCCAACAGACCAACTATATTAAAATGAAAACTTTTTTGTCGTTTTGTTGACAGGGTCTCCCTGTGTAGCCCAGGCTGGCCTTGAATGCATGATCTTCCTGGATTGCTGGGATCACAGGCATGTGCCACCATGTCTGGCTCTTAAAATTAAATCTTGCTGGGTCTAGTCTCCCAAATCCTAGGGTGAGGTTTCTTAGACCCGAGTGGCAAAATCCATTAGTACAACTTTCAGTGGTCTCACTTGGATTTTTGATTTTAGAAATTGTAGGTTACAGGAATATATATTGCTTGAAGAGAAAGTGCATGAATACAGAAATGTATACAGCATGCACAGTGGTCTCCCTCAATCCTCCTCCACCTTACCTGGGTATTACTCTTTGCCAGGTGACCATGGTTGAGAGCTTACCTTCTTTTACACATTTATCTAGAATCAGTAAACTACTGGGCCAGTGGTGAACTGTGAATTTAAAAACAGTGTAATGTCCAGTGCTGGTGGCTCATGCTTATAATCCTAGCTACTTGGGAGGCTGAGATCAAGAGGATTGCAGTTTGAGGCCAGTCTGGGCTGTGAGACCCCATCGCCAAAATGACAGCAAAACAGACTGGAAGTGTGGCTCAAGCAGCAGTGTCTGCTTTGCAAAATGAAGCTCTGAGTTCAAACCCCAGTCCCGCTAAAACAAAAACAAAAACAGTGCAAAAGGCTACAAGTGTGGCTCAAGTAGTAGTGCCTGCCTAGCAAGCACAAAGCTCTGAGTTCAAACCTCAGTACTGCCAAACAAAACAAAACTAAAACAGTGCAAGAACTGGGCATACAGCTCTGTAGAGAACATGTCCAGAGTGGCAAGGCTCTGATTTCAATCCCTAGCATCACCAAAAATAAAGACAAAGTCCAAACAATGTCCAGGCTTACGGAATTATCCTATAAACATGTAAATAAAAACAGAAATCAAAAGCTTCATCACTCTATCTTTTATTTTCTTATAATAACAAATGAAAATGTGATTGTAGCAACCTGTTTTTTTAAGTCAGCAATTATAACATAAATGCTACTTATAAAATAGAAGATTCTACGCCAAGGCAATAATAGGCATTTAACTTTCCCAAACCCAAGGACAACCAAAAATTTTTATTACCTATCAAACAGAAAAAAAAAAAAAAAAAAAAAAAAAAGATTTGTGCTTCTCATAGCTAAAAATTTCCATGAGTTATAAACTTTTTCTATATACATTTATATATATATCTATTGACTGACACCAGAAACAGGAACTGAAACACTTACAGTGATTTGCACACTGGGGTCTGGCTACTCCCAGGGGCTGGCGGTATGCAAAATACTGCCAATGATGTGGTGAATATGCTCCACCTTTCCAGATGGCAGTGCACACTCCAGGCCAATCACAAATGTATGTATTAATGCTAAACATAAGTTTTTGTCCTTAACTGAAATAATACAGATCCCAAAATACAAAACAAGTTTTAGAAAACTGTGTTGTTGGGTGATTGAAGTGTTCTCCCTTCACATACATCCACGGAATGCCCCTGTGTGGCCCCTTCCCTCCCTGGAGCCCTGGGAAATGCGTGGCACACCAAGTCTCACTACCTTGCAATCTCAGTTCAAAGACTGGGCATCTTGCCAGGTACACAAAAAGGTCTTTAAGGGAGTCCAAGATTCACCAACATGGTTAACATTCCTGCTTGCCTTCTTTTCAGGAAAGTAACAGTCATAGGTAGCACAGTTGGTATTTCAGGTGTTGACTTTTAGCTCTTTAGGACTTTCCTGATTTCTTACTCTTTTCAGTAGCAAAACATTTCAACAAATTTATACTTCTGCTTGTATTAATGTAGCTTTCAGATTTGGTAGCACCTCTAGCTTTAGAACACAGTAAACAATAATATATCTTCCCAAACAGTGAAAGAAAAAGTACTAAGTGTTCCCAAGTAGTCCCCTGTTCCCTAATCTGGTTTCTGAATATTCTGGTTCTTTTTCTTTTCTGTGTACTCTTCTAGTCGAAGAAGCCACTTGACCCAGTACTGGGAACAGAGTTCTGCATCCATGAAATGTGGGTGGGCAGGGGATCCATCTTTGTAGGCCACCACAATTAAACCACACTGAACCTAGAAAGAAGCACAAAGCAATTCCAGTACTTGTATATTAGGTTCAGAGTTTAGGTTCATTTCCTTCATGCTCTAGGGCAAACTCAGTTCTAAGTAATCTACAGTATTATCTCCTAACTGACTTTCTAAGATGGGTTGATTAAAGACTGTTGATTAAAGACTGAGAGGACATATGAGAACACAAAGATGACAGATAAAGCATTGAAGAATGGACTGTGCTCACTAAATAACTATTTTTAAGAAATAGCCCAGGAAGAGAGAGGGAAAAAAAGTGCTTTTAAGGTGAGAAAAGGGCGAGGAACAGTCAGCAGTAGTATAAAGATAGAGTAAAAGCCATAAAGAGTTAAGTAGCAGTAAATAAGTATTAAGTAAACTTTAAGTAAGCAGAGGCTCAGCGCCCAACCTGAAAACTGTAGTTGGCATCATGGTTTATGGCGCCCATGTATGCACAATTTGTAGTGGGTTGTCATATGTATTTCGGAGAAAAGGCTTTGGTTTTTCTGATGTCTTCCAGTCAATCACACACAACTTGCCCCTAAAGAGAAACCAAAGGCAATAGGTCAAAGTGAAAAACTACTAGGTTAACTCTCCTCTTATGCACAGTTTACTATGGGTCATCCAATGACTGTTGCATCTGTTCTTCACTTTCCAAAATGGGCTTTACTTCTTAGGATTAGATTAGAAAAGCATGATGAAGCTGGAGATGAAGCTCAGTGAAAGATGCCTTCCTAGCATGCATGAGGCTCAGCTTTGGATCCACAATACACATATACAAACACCAAAAAAAAGGGAGGGGAGGAACAAAAGAAGGAACAAAAGCAAGAAGGGGGAGAAAGAAGGAAGGAAGGAAAAAGAAAGAGAAAGGGAGAGAGAGACAGAAAAGAAGTGATGCTGTTTCCTCTTGATCCTTTCATCAGATGGGTAATGAGTACACCAGGGGCTAGGATGGAAAATTTATCTGTGAGAAATTCAGATGTGGGCTATTAGGAAGAGCTGAGAAACAACTTTTCTGCTTTCTTGTGATTCTCAACTTTCTTGTGATTCCTTGGGACCTCCTTGGACTGCTTTCCTTTAACAGCTGACAGTAACTGAAATTATACCTATTATTGTCTTGGTTGATTTTGCTTCAAATATCTATCAGAATAAAGCACACTATATCAAGTCTCTACCATGAAGTATTTCACCTTCATGAATTATGGCGCCTCCAAAATTCTGTTGCTCAAAAATTAAAGCTGAGGTTCAATCCATCAGCAATTAATAGGCACCAACTATATGTTGACATGCATATAAAGAAACCTGGCTCCTCTACTAAAAGTTTACATATGTGGTAGGGTGTCTTACCAATAAGACACTCTTCCCCAATCTCCCCATCCTAGTGGGATTTTATACTTGCCAACTGTATATATTAAAAGAATCAGAGAGCCAAAGGACTCTTTTTAATCTGTTTTTCATGACTTCAATTAAAGCCTAGCAGTTTACAGGGCAATTCTATACAAAGAAAGCATATTACTAAGTTAACTATGGCACAGTTACATCTCATTCAAGTATCTACAAGACCAGTCAAGAGCAGCATTGTCTAAGAGAAATAAAATGCAGCCAGATGTGGTGGCACATGTCTACAATTGGTGGCACATGTCTACAATTCTAGCTATTTGGGAGGCAGAGGCAGGAGGATCACAAGTTTAAGACCAGTATGGGCAGAAGTTAGCAAGACCCAAGCGTGGTGTGGTGGTTCAAGTGAGTCTGTAATCTTAGCTATTCAGGAGATGGAGATCAGCAGGATCTCAGTTCCAGGCAGCCTGGACGAAACGTTAGTGAGACCCTATCTCAATCAATAAGCTGGGTGTGGTGATGTGCACCTGTGATCCCAGCTATGCTATGTGAGTATATATAGAAGGATTGAGGTCTGAGACCTTGGGCAAAAACTTGAGACCCTACTGGAAAAATAATTAAAGCAAAAAAGGGGTGGGGCCTAGCAAGTATGAGGCCCTGAGCTCAAATCCCAGTTCCATTAAAAAAAAAAAAAAAGTGAGATCCTGTCTCAAAAACAAAAGGGAAGGGCTGGGAGTGTGGCTCAAGTGATAAAGTGTTTGCCTAGCATGTAGAGGCACTGGGTTCAATCTCCAGCATGGCCAAAAATTAAAAATGAGATAAAATAAAACAAAAAGAAAGAAAACATAAGCCACATGTCATTTTACATTTCCTAGTAGGCATGTCAAACAAGGAGAAAAAGGTTGAAATTTTAGCATTTTCATTTAAACAATATACCTAAAATATTAACATTTAACTTATAATCGGTATGAAAATGATACTATAATGGGACATTTTATATTTTTGCTGTTGCTGTTCTAAAGCATTACAATCAAGTTTTTAGACAGTTACAGCCATTCCTCAGTTGAGACTATCCACTTTCAAGTGCTCAATAGCCGTATGTGGTTAGTGACTGCTCTTTCACACAGTGAAGGTCTAGAGTCTTTATAATGGTTCTGTAATACTGCCAAGTTCGATAATCTAAGTGAATGAGGAGAGGGACCCAGTAATTCCAGGGCATTGACATTCCTGGTTATTACTTGAATAAATCAAATACTTCAAAAAAAGCTTTCTTCCATGGACTACTGTTTATAGCAATATACTGTAATTGTAGAATTGAATATAGGTTGGGTATCCCTTTATTCAAAACGCTTGGGACCTAAGGTCTTTGGAATTTTGGAGTTCTTTATGTTTTAGAACAAGTACAAAGAATATTTTGCCAAGTGAGTATCCCTAACCAGAAATTCCAAAATCTGAAAACTTAAAGCTCAAAAAGTTTCAGATTTTAGAACATTTCACATTTCGGATTAGGGATGCTTAGCCTATAGTGTGAAAAATCTTAGTAGCATGCTAAAAACCATAAAATATTGATGAAAGAAACTGATGATACAAATAAATGATAAGATATCCCATGTTTATGGATTGGAAGTATATTGTTAAAATGTTCATACTACCCAAAGCAATGTACAGATTCAGTTCAACTCCTAACAAAATTCTCCCAATGTCATTTTTCACAGAAACAGAAAAACATCCTAAAATTCTTATGGAACCACAAAGACCCTGAATAGCCAAAGAAATCTTGAACAATAAGGACAAAGCTAGAGGTATCATAATCCCCGATTTCAAAACATATTATAAAGTTATACTACTCCAAACAGCATGGTACTGGCATAACAACAAACACATGAAACAATGGAACAGGGCAGAGCCAGAAATAAACCCATGCATTTACAGTCAATTAGTTTTCAGCAAAGGAGCCAAGAATACACAAGAGGGAAATGACAGTCTCCTTAATAAATGTAGTTAGGAAAAAAATGGATATCCACTTGCAGAAAAATGAAACTGGATGTTCCTTATCTCATACTGTATACAAAAATCAACTCAAAATGAAACACTTATACGTAAGACCAGAAACTGTAAAATTATTAGAAGACAATGGGGAAAATGTCCCAAACATTGGCTGGGCAATGATTTCTTGAATAGAACTCCAAAGTACAACAAAGACAAAAAAAAAGGTAGCCAAAGCTAGCCTATCTCTTGGACACACAGGGCTCTTCTCAGATATGCGGCAGCTGTGCCACAAAACTGTTAGGTATTCTAAACAGTTTCTAGACTAATATTCTGTCAATTTGTGTATGCTTCGGGGTGTGTGTGTGTGTGTGTGTGTTGTGTGGTGCTGGAGATCAAACCCAGAGCCTGGTATACACTAAGTTATATCCCTAGTCCTATCAATTATTTTGTAAGTTAAATTTTAGCTAGGGCCCCAAGGATTACACAACAAGATTTTTTTTTTCCCCATCCTGTTGTAATTGCTCACATGCTTTATTTGGAAACAGGGGTCCTGCAGGTTATAGTTACCCTTGGAATCTGAAGCAACTTGGGAAAAGTAGTAACACAGCAGAAATTTAAAATCTGCAGGAAGCTTTGGTAAGTTTAGAGTTCTTATCATATCAACTGCTGCCTGGAAGCCAGGAAGAGAGTTGATTTTCAGGGTCAACAGATCATGGTGCAATCTTTAGGAAAACAGGAAAGAGAATACAGGAATCAAACTGCCTTTTATGGCTATTATCTTTCTTGGGGGGTGGGGAAATGACAGGCTGAAAGACAGGCTGGAGAACTTGATTATGAACATAATTAAGATAAAGGAATCTTTTTACTAATAGGAGCAGTGACTGCCAAGGAATAAAAATTGAGACACACACAAATTAACAATAACTGGATGTTGTGGAAATGCACTTATTTTTTAGTGCTAGGGATACTGAAAAGTATAGCTTTTCCCCACCAAGAATTATGTGGCTCCCTCCTCCCCCATTTGTCCTTGTTTCCTGTCTTTTAAAGTCAAACTTATAATATAGCTTTGACTTTAAAGAGACAGAGGCCATAATATCTACAGGCACACCTTGAAGCAAGGGTTAGCAGGCAAAAACAATCTATTGACAAGCAGCATCTGTCCCATCTGACATTAATTCACAGCCACACTGTGATGGAAACGGTCTCAAACTTACTGATACTCAGCCACACAGTCCAGCAGACCTGTATACTTTAAAGTCTCATGATGAACAGCGCTTTCAAGAGCTAGCACTCCACTGATATCTTTCAAAATATGCTGGATGCTTTCGATGTAGCCACACTGGAGGTGTTTCTCATCTCTCTCTTTTAAGTTCTCCTGGGGAGACAGTATGCTTTCCAAGGCTTCATGGAATCGTTTCCCTTGTGAAAAAATGTCTGAAAAGAAAATCAAGAGAAATAAAAAAACAAAACCTCATTAGCTTTTAGAGCTCTAAAAATTACCCTAAAATTATGTTTAAGTAGCAACCCCTAAAACGACAACAAAAAAAAAATTTTTTTTTTTTTTGGTGGTATTGAGGATTGAACCTCAGGCCTTTCACTGGCTAGCAAACACTCTACATCTGGGCTATATACCCAGTCTTCTCCACACACATTTTTTTTTTTCCAGGCTAAAGTTGAACTCTCAATCCTGTTTCACCCTCCAGGATGTTGGGACTACAGACAGGTTCCACCATGCTGGGCAAATTTCAGTTTCTTGTGAAACCTAAGAATGACTTTGAAGCTGGGTGCTGGTGGCTCACACCTGTAATCCTAGCTATTCAGGAGGCAGAGATCAGGAGGATCCAGGTTCAAAGCCAGACCCAGACAAATAGTTCTTGAGACCCTATCTTGAAAATACCCATCACAAAAAAAGGGCTGGTGGAGTGGCCCAAGTGGTAAAAGTGCCTGCCTAGCACTGTGAGGCCCTGAGTTCAAACCCCACTGTGGCAAAAAAAAAAAGCACTTTGAAAAACCAAAGGGATTAGAATTTAGAAATTAAATGTATTAAAATGAAGTATTTCTAGTAGCATTAGACCAAAGCAAGAATTGAAGATTTGGGGGCTACAGGACAACACCTAGTTTATAGTACTATGTATTCAATAGGCTAAGTGATTGTAATAAAAATCATTAGAAGTTTTGGCTCTTTTTACAACCAAAACGTAATTACAAACATAATTAAAGTGAGAGAATCCTTTTACTTACAGAAGTAGTGACTGGCAAGGAATGAAAATCAAGGCATAAACGAAATAATTTGTGGGACTGCACTTATTTTTTAGTACTAAAACAGCCTGAGATAGTTGCTGTGTCCTAGATTTTTTTCCTTAGATACTTTTAAGTTAAGAAAAGTGAACACAAACATTTAGGTAATGCAAGAAATAATACATATTCGATTGTTGGTAAGGGAAGGAGAGAAAGAGGGAGTGCTGTTAGGGTAAGCAGTAGCCTTGATTTCAAAACATTATTTTCCAACAACCCAGCAAGATAAGGATCATTACTCTCATTTGAATCAAGGAGGCCCTGCTGGCCTGAGCAGTGCTGCTAATTTGTCCAAAAGTAAAAAGCTGACCAGCACTCTGGCACCAGGGTCTTTTTTTTCCAGTTCACCACACAGCAAAGGGAGTGAAACAGAGACCACCATTTTAACACATATAGAAACAGAATAGGAAATACACATGCTTGGAGACAGACCCACAGAAAAGGAGGAAAACAATCTCGTCCAATGAGACAATATAAAGCCCTATTAGTTTTTATTTTGGCAATACTAGGGTTTGAACTTAAGGCCTTGTGCTTGCTAGGCAGCCACTCTACCACTTGAGCCACATTCCCAACCCTAAACCATAATATGTTTATCAAGTTATTTTTTTTCTTAAACAAAGACTTTGAAAGGTTAGTTCTACCATTAGTGAAAAATGGAATTGCTTCTGGGAAATTACTTGGAGAGTTAAATGGAATTCAATTTAGGAAGTAAATTATTCTACTCCACATATACTTGGGTCAGTTGACATTATTTGCATAAGAAAAGCCTACAAGAAATCTAAGGCTGATGGAATTAAAACCTAAAGAAAAGAGATGTAGTATCTGTGTACAGACTAGTTTAATGAATCAGAAGACAAACATGTTAAAAATAGGAGGAGGGCTGAGAGAGTAGGTCAGTGATAGACTGCTTGCCTAGCACACAAGAAGCTCTCTGGGTTTGATGCCCAGCACCACAAGAAAAGAGCTTTATCTTCTGCCAGGCAAATAGATAATTCACTCCCCCAAGCAGACCTAATCCCTGGCCCTGGCTAGATTCTTCCTATATGTATGTGACCACAAACATGGAAATCTAGATTTCAGGATCACAGAGAATCTAAGGCTCAGAACATTAAACATGATTCAATTTACAAAAATAAAATTAAAAATTACTTAAGAATAGACTTACTAGCTGGGCTTGGTGGAGCATGCCTGTAATTTGCATTCAAGAGATGGAGGCAGGAGGATCAGAGTTTGAAGCCAGCCTAGTCTACATAGCAAGACAATGTCTCAAAAACAAAAAAAAAAAGCAAAAAAGAACAGATTTATTATAGTTCCATCAAATCAGAGCATTCATTCAATAAATTAAATGAAAGTGAAATGTTTTAAAGTCTCAGAAAACTGCACTAAAAAAAAAACCACGTCTCCTATATTCTGATGCTAGAACTAACAGGATGGCTGATATTTTAAGGATTTAAAAAAATCAGTTTACCCAGCCACTGGTGGCTCACACCTGTAATTCTAGCTACTCTGGAGGCAGAGATCAAGAGATCAAGGTTTGAAGCCAGCCTGAGCAAATAGTTCACAAAACCCTATCACAAAATGTTTGGCAGAGTGGCTCAAGTGGTAGAGTGCCTCCCTAGCAAGCATGAGGCCTTGAGTTCAAACTCCAGTGCAGTAACACCAAAAAACAGAACAGTTTAACAAAACATTTAAAACAAACTTTAGCCCTTTTCACTATGATCAACTCAAACATAAATCTGAGTAAGTCAGACTTTTCCCACCCTCACCAATCTTCAAAAGGTGAACTGATGCTTGGGAAATTGCTCAAGTATTTGGAAGAATGACAGCTCTGAGCACATCTCTGTTATGGACTTTAGAAAGATCAGGCAAAAAAGGAATTTATCAAGTATTTTGCAGATCTATTAATCAATTTAGTGAGTTCTGCTACACTTGCTTTCCTTCTCCTTCCTTTTCTTTCTCACCATGACACTAATATGTAAGTGACTGTCCTTAATTTTAAGAATGAATCTAGATTCAGCCAGCCAGGGCAAATAGTTTGAGAAACCCCCTTCTCCAAAATAACCAGAGCAAAATGAATTGGAAGTATGTCTCAAGCGGTAGAGTGCCTGCTTTGTAAGTGCAAAGCCCTGAGTTCAAACCCTAATTGCACAATTAAAAATAAAAAAAAGAATCTGCTCATTTCTTAAGGCTGACGGTTACCAGAAACACAGCAGAGTGCTAACTCTGAAATTCTGCCAGGGTATTGGGGCTCACTTGCACTCCAAACAAATTCATCAAGGGGGCCAGCAATGTACTTCCTTAAGCTCTCACATGACCCAGCAGGCTTCTGCTTTTCCATCTCTAATCAGTAATTTCAGAATTCTTGAAAGCTCACTGTGACCTTCCTGGTCTAAGGAAAATCAAAACAATTCCTCAAGAGGAAACTATCAAGTCTAAATTCTAGAAGCACAAATAAAAAACTTAAGATGCCATTAATGAGACCTGGCCTAGTTTTCTTTCAGACAATGAAGTCTGCCCATTGAAATAAAACACAAAGTCAAGTCGAAAAAAAAAAAAAAAGACTTTCATGTTTAAAAAGCAGAGACTAACTAGTTTAGCAGTCATCACTAATTAGCTTAAGAAGGCACCTACTTGTCCCACAGCTGAAGAAAATTCAGGGGTCTAAAGCCTGGACCATTTTTGCCATATCCAGGTACCATCTACATAGTATTTTTTTCTTTAAAACATATGTGACTGTATGGTTAAGGTGCTACATGCTTACACTGCTTTTTCTAACATACCTGAAAAATTAAGGATATTACTCTTAAAAAAAGTGTTTGTGTGCCACTTAGGGGGTACATTGACTACTCTTAGGGAAGCATAGGTTAAGGAATACCTATGTAAAACTTGGCTTTAACAAAAGACACCTATGGACCAGCCAATTTGTATGTGCTATTGGTATGGGTTTATTTTTTAATTTTTTTCTTTTCGGTTTTTGAGATAGGGTTTTCCTACATGGCCCAGGCTGGCTTCAAACTCTCCATCCTTATGCCTCACCTCCTGAATACAGGTATTACAAACATTTACCACTATGCCCATCTCATGGTCTATTTTTTTTTTTTAAATGGAATCTGCTTTAAGGAAGCTATTCTCATTTGTTTAAGGAAGTTAGTAGTTGAAGGCTAAAGTTTACTTACTCTCAGTTCCTAATCAACAGCATCAGACTGGCACAATTTACCAAGATGTATTCTGGCAAAAAAGGAATTTAAATTTAAATTGGTAGATTTAAAGGATCTTTAAATCTACCAATTTACACTCATCAGTAGAGTAATGGGTATTACTAGATTCTGAACAGAATGCCTACCAAACAAGAATTCTGTCATCAAGTGACTGATTTTTTTCCTTAATCAAGGAAAACAAGTAATTTTGATATTGTTTACAGCTTATGAGTTAAATGAACTTTGTGCATGAAATTACTTATCTCTGTGCTTCAGTTTCATGTGTAAAACGGGAAAAAATATCCATGCTTCATGAAGATTGAGTTAATACACAAAAAGTGCTATTTAATGCTAATTATTTAAAAGTTCTTCACTTAGTAGGGTTTTTAAAAAAGCCTCATCCTTTTGATAACAATGCTGTATATTCTAGAAAACAGTGACCACACATAACCAGAATTAAGAGAATTACTTGAAGTATATTCTGCAAATCCATCTTCCCCCAGCTCCAGAATCATCCGCTGTTTCCACCTCTCCAAAAAGAAAATCTGTTCTGATGTCATGGTCTGCTGAAGAACACGGGTCACACTTGGCATCACTTTTCTTTGCAAAGGGATTTTCAAAATTGAAGAGTCAGGTGTATTTGGTTTTACATTTCTTTCTGGGTTGAAGATAGGAAACCAGTTTTGTGGAACTTTTGCCTCCTCATTTTGCTTTGGGGGCTTATGTTTACTCACAGGTCCATAGAGTAAAGCATCTTCCTCCAACAATGATTCTGGGGTCTGGGTCAGGCCTCGGAATGACAAGACAGACCTTACCAAATGAGAGTATTTTGCTTGGTCCACTTCTTCATAAGGGTTTTTTTTCTTCCTGCTACATGAATAAGAGGAAGTAGAGAAAGCCACATGGGGGCTTCGTTCCAGGGAAAAACCTTTTGAACTTCTGAGCTGCCTGCAAATGGTGTGAAATGCCTTCATCATTAGATTTTTTTTCCACTTTTGTCTAGTCTGACTGCAATGCTGAGAATCTTTTTTTTAAATCTTGTATTCCTATTAAGGAGAAAAAGGGTGTTAAGATTCCAGACGTTTACGTACTTGAAACACCAAAGTGAAAGCTAAGTGAGAATATTCTACATCAAAACTGTATTGAACAAGTTTATGTTTAAAGAAAGCTATTTCCCCAAGAAAGATTCATCAATACCATAAGGACGAACACTTGTTAAATGCCAATTACCAGATAGTTTTGGGCAAGACGCCCCAATCTTTAAATTGAAGAAATGACACTCAGGAAGGGAGTCTGGAGACTTTTCTGCAGAAGCCCCAGTCACAGCCAAGCGTGGTGGTGCACGACTGTAATCTCAGGACTCAGGAGGCTGAAGCAGGAGGATCGTGAGTTCAAACTCAGCATGGGCTACACAGCAAGCCCATGTCTTGAAACAAAACAAAACACGGATCCCTAAATACAAAGTCCTTTGCTAAATATTTTGTATGGACATTTCTCATTGAATACTCACACCCTCTAAGGTAGGTACAATAGTGGAACCAGAGCCTCTGAAGGGTCACGTCCCTTTGTCGCGGGGAGAAGCAGGTAAACCGAGATCAGCAGGGCCCACCATCCTGATCCCCAAAGAGCGGTCTCCCACACTGCCACAAGCGTGGACCCATAGCGAAGACAAAAAGCTATGGCTCCTCATGCAGGAGTATGAATAGGGTGGAAATGACTTAATGGACTCTTAGGCTACCACAGAAGTCTGTACCTGAGACGCCACCACGCTTGGTCTAACTGGGGCTCGAATTACCTCTGAGGACCCGTACTTTCATAAGTCCCGCGCTTCAACCTCGAGTCGGGTCCCGCCTAAAGTACGGCAGCCCCAGCATGCACTGCGACGCCCACGCCCCACCCCCTGACCCCTCTTCCACCTTCTTAGATTAGCAATCCGCCCCCACCCGCCAGGTGGAAGCGCGGGCGCCTCCAAATCGCGCGTTTTCACTTTCACGAGATCTTGTTACGTCACTGCTCGTCGCCATCTTGGGCTTGGGCTAAGCAATAAATTCCCCTGCCCTAGAGCGCGCTCTTTCTTGAGACGTGCGTGGGTGAGAGAGGTTCTGTGGCCCCGCGTCTGTGCTGCGGTCCTGCGGTCGACACTGCGTCGTGCGGAGCGAGGGTAGGCCCGCCTTGCTTCTTTGCCCGGCTCCAAGATGGACGGCAGCGGGGACGGGGGAGGCCGCTCTGGGGGAGCACGTGGCTCGCTGCTCGCCTGCTCCCGGGGCTGCTGGGATGGTGGCGGAGTCCCGAGGCCTCCTACTGCCGTCGGGCAGGGAGGCCAGCGGAGGCGGGGCCGCGGCCGCCCCTGAGAGGCGCCCCGGCGGCGGCGGCGGTCCAGCCTCTTCTTTCCTCGCACAGCCAAGCGGCTCCTGCTCGAGGCCCGCGTCGCCATGGCCGCGGTTCCCGAGTTGCTGCAGCAGCAGGAGGAGGACCGCAGCAAGGTGAGGTCCTCCCCCCGCATCAGCATCTGACCTCTTGCTACCGGGTATTTCTTCCCCCATCTTCTCCGAGGTCCTGGCTGCTCGTGGCCTTTCCTAGCACGGAAAGCATCTGCGAGCCATCTCCCTGCCTTTCCCACTCTCAAGCGGTCTCAGTGGACCCCGAATCTCCCCTTCCACCCCAGGAGAGAACCGGTCACACAGGACCTTATTTAGTGGCCCTGTACTCCACTCGGTACTGAGCGGATTCTCGGCTAGTCTCTGGCCAATCCCAGGAGACCCCACGATATGTGTTTTTGCATTAAAGGTGTTGAAAACTGCGTGGTAACTGGAAGGTGAACTGTACCAAACGGCAGGGGGTTGCTACCTCCAAATTGGTGCTCCTCAGTCCTTCTTAATAAAAAGGACTTTACCACCTAAATAACTGGGGAAATTCATCAAGTATCTGTAGCATGTTTCTTGTAACTTACTAAATGCTAAGTGATCGTAGCGGGAGTTGTGTAATCTTTAGTAGTAGATGCTTAAATATTTAGTGAACTTAGGCCTTTATTTTTGGATCCTGTGTATAGAAGCCCCAGGCATATCTTGAACTAAAAGATTATTAATGCAATAAATTGAGGTTACTACGGCCAGCTAAAGATTCAAAGACAAGTCACCATTCATTTATTGGCCCTTTAAAATAAAATCGTTTTGCATTGCATACAGGTTTTAAGCTGCAATCTTTAAGTGCAGAATTGCTAACACAGGTTTTTTTGGTGTGTGTGTTGTACTTGGGTTTGAACTCAGGACCTCACGCTTGATAGGCGCTTACTGTTTGAGCCACTCCGCCAGCCCGCCAACATAGATTTTTAAGACAAAAATACTAAAAATAGTAGGCGCTCTCTAATTGAAGAGACTAGGAGCCATGGTAGAAACTTGACCTTTTAGATTTATCTTTGGGTAAGCTATTTATCACCTAATAAGTAAATGCTGAACTTGAACACTAAGAAACTGGGTTACTAATAATTGTATTAGTTATTGAAATAGCGCCTTGAACTTTTTATTTCTTTAAAAGTCGAATTTGCTTACTGGTTTTAGTGAGTAACAAGAATGTTACCCATATCCATAGTGAAAAAAATTACATAACATTTTTCTTCTGGTTTGTTGTACAGAAATGAATTACCCAGACATGTAGATTTATTTTGTGGCTGGACTATGCTGATACTAGTCTGCCTTGGGAGGTCAGGTCTAGATGGTTTTACAGTTAATTCTTGGCAAGTGTGAAACTAACAGCCCACATCTTGGACAGCTGAAATATTTTAGATTTTTCTTAGCTTGAACGCTCTGATTATTTGCTTTGGTTTGGAAAAACAAGGATCAAAATTGATTCTACAGGGTTTTTTGTTGTTGTTGTTCCTTCTCCCAGGGGCTTGCCTGCACTCTACCATTGAGCCACAGCTCAGAAGTTTGAATGCTAGTACAATACTCATTTTGGCAAGTTGAGAACTGAAAGTAGTATTGTTCTGGTTGGCTGATCACTTCCATTTTTGTCAGCTCTCCCACCTCCCCACCCCCATCCCCTGGGGGATGAACCCAAGGCTTTGCACTTGCAAAGTAGGCATTTTACTGCTTGAGACATGTTTCCAGTCCATTTTGCTGTGGTTATTTTGGAGATGGGGTCTCCCTAACTATTTGTCTGGATGGACCTCTAACCACGATCTTCCTGATCTCACTCATCGTCTCAAGTAATTAGGATTACAGGTTTGAGCCACCTGTGGCTAGCTTCATTTTTGTAACCTTTAGTCCAAGATGTTTACTTGTGTCTTAAAAAGCAGAGTTCAGAGGAAGAGTTGCATGGTTGATTTGGTTTGGGTGAGGTTTTTGTATGCTGTATTACTGAGTCATGCTGTGAGCCCTTAATTTGGTTCTTAGTTTTTCTGCTAATGTGATAGATTTGAATTTTGATATTAAGGAAGCTAGAGTTTTACCAAGCTTAGGTCCTGAAAACCAGTTTAATGCACCATTTTGGTCCCAACTTTGTTAGCTAAGAGATAGTGTCGTCCCCCTCTGTATGGACTGGATGAGAGTTCTCACATGTCTGGGATTTTTAGTGTGTGGGGGAGTTGAGACGATTGGAGATTATACAGAAAAGCCCTACTTTTAGGAAAAATAAGTTATTCGTCTACAGTCACCTAGCACCTTCTAGGTTCTCCAGGCCTTCCATTTACTGAAAGTCATGAAGTAGCCACGTTTTGTGTTTAGGTGCACACTTACAGATTCAGTGTGTCTTGATGGGTCTTTGGAGGTGAGTCATCTGTTCGTCTAACTTAGGGCAAATAAAGTAAAGCAGCATTGGTTGTGAGTGTTCAAGTCCTGGCTCCATTCTGGGACTTTCTTTGATTCTGAAAATCTTTATGATTCCAAAGGGACTGAAGTAAGTTGAATACATGAAAAGGAAAAGTTCTTGCTGGATGTAGTGGTGCACACCTGTAATCATCAAGATTTTGAGGCACGAGGATCTCAATGTTCAAGGTCAGCTTGGGCCACATATATGTAGGAAGACCTTGTCTGAAAAGAAGAGGGGAAAACTCTGAGGAGATTGAAATCTGCCTTTCTTAATATTGTCAGGGCTAGATGATAACCTTTTGTTACTGGTGCTGGTGCAGTCTGTGTTCAGAACATTCTGGTTTTTGTGCTCCAAGTGGAAATACCCAAGCAGATATTTGATGGGGCGAGGTAGGATAGCTTTACTGAGAAAGCAGGGAGTCACCTGTTCTGTGAGGAAAGGGAAGAAAAGGTAGAAGTGGCGCAGGTAGAGTCCACTAGCAGAGAGAGCAGCAGCCTTTTCTTTTTCAGGTGCCTTTAAAACCTACACTACCTCATAGGAGGGCAGGCCCAGGAGATTTGAGTAGGGAGGAGCATGGGTGGTTCCCTGCCAGGTGCGGGTAGTTGTCTGGCTCTTCCCCACAAAACTTACCTGAGCCCCAAACTTTTCCTGCTTCTAGCCTGCCCTACCTTCTCAACCTAGTGCCATTTTAAACTAGGGGGTTCTCCTTTTTTGTTGAAAATAGTTTGACCTTTGTAGATATCTTTCCTAAGATCCAGTCATTAATGTTTATGGACAACACAGGTGAAAAGTTGTTCAGACATATAGAAGATGCCTTTAGAGGCATTTTACTCCATCAGCTGTTAGGACAGCACTCAGCTTTGATCAGTACTGTAGCAAGCAAACATTTACCAGTTTTTTGAACTGAAGTTTTCTACAGTCATGTGACTTAAATTCAGGAAGTGTGGCTTATCAGAGCTGCCCATGCCTTAGTTTTGGATCAGTAATTTGGACAGTGTCTTAAGTACCCCATTTGTATTACTTTACCAAGTCATGAGATGTGCTTATGGCCTTGGGAAGAACTGGCCAAGAGACTATTGAGATCAATCAAATTTATCCTTGACTGAGAATCACTGATGTTCTAAAGTAATGTGATATGGGTGGGGCCAATATAGTTTGCCATTTGCAAGTTTTTTCAGGTCTCTGATTAGTAAATTGTGTTAGGGTACATGTCACATAAAACTTGAATTGTTGAGTATTTATTAAAATTAACTTTCCACCAATATTGAGGAACCTTATAAGAAGGTGATAAAAGATGGTTTTCATCAGCAGACACTGGGCTTTTAAGGATTAAAATAATACAAGCTGTTTTTTTTGTGAGTGATTTGCCAGGTTTGGACCTTGGAAATCTGAGGTGCTTGTATTGCAGCACCCAGAAAGCATTGTGGGTCAGAAGTAAAGCTCACTGAGAAATGGGTTGTAGATAGGGAGCACAGTTTAAATTACAGCTATTGTGGGCCTCATGGTGCATTCTATAATCCCAGCATGGTACTAGGGAGGTGGAGGCAGAAGAATCTTGTTCAAGGCTAACCTGGAAAGCATATCAAAACCTTGTCTCAAAAAACAAACTTGTTGTTGAATAAACACTTTGCTGTCTTTGTTATCAGTGTACACCAAGTGAGAACAATTCTGCAGGTTAGAAAACTGAATGTCCCAGATAGTCACATAAGTAGTAAAGTTAGGGAACAAGTTGGATTGTTTCCCTGAACACTGTTTTGGGAGACATTATTTCAGAGCTTTGTTAGGTTCTGCTTTTTCTTTTTGAAACTGGAAAGGAAGATGGCTGCAGGATATCTTGTATAAATATACCTGTATAAATCCATAAGTTTTTCTGTATGATCTTTCCAAAAAGTAATCTTTTCCTCTCCAACACCTATTACTGGGAACATGGAATTCATGAGCTTTTTAACAACCCTAAAGGCAAACAAATACAAAAGAATTGAATAGTAGGTGAAGGGCTTTACTCTCTGAATAACTTCTGATTTTCATTTGTTGGAGCTTTTTCCATTAGCAGTGTTGGTGCTGATTTGATTTCCCAGTAGAATTTCTGTGCTGGGTAATCCTTACAGGTCATAAACTTCAGCACTTTTGCTTTATGAATGCATTTGAATAGATCAGTTGTCTGTTTGGGGTCTGAATTCTGAATTCACGTGAGGTTTTGAGCCACTCTGCCAGCCATAGACCAGATACCTAATTACGTAGATTTCTTAATATGAATTATTAGTTATTTAAGGTGGTAATTCAACATAATTGCTTTCTGGTGCCTTGTTGAGATTTGACTGGTACATGGGCTTTGCAGTCTTGTGACATGATGATTCAGTTTATCCATTCGCTGAGTACGCTGTACTGACCTCCTTCCAAACCTCAGTTCCTGTTCTAGGAACTTGGGACTATGTAGCCTCCAAATGCCCTGCAGCCTGCAGTGTTCTATTGTGGACTGCTTGTGTGTTGGTAGACTACTGGTAGGAATGGTTGGTGTCAGCAGGGATGGGTTCTACTGGGTCCCATCTCACCAAGATGAGTGGTGAAATCTGATCACTACCTGCAGCCCTTCTAGTTTGTTGAGCTTGTGCCTAAGTAATTTCATGGTTATCATCTATGTCAGTAGTCTGAAATTTTCTGGAGGTCCTTAGTTCTGTTATTTATGAAGACAGTTACAATTGCTGACCTCAGTTATAGGATTGGGGAGAGCCAGTGAGAGGGTGAGATGAGAGCAAATTACATGGAATAGCAGTTAGTATATGCTTATAGATGATTCATTTGGCACACATATGTTAAGTTTTGGCTATCTTCAGGGTAGGAGAAAACTTGACAATTCAGAGTACCAATATTTTAGCCTTTTTAAGCACTAGAACTATAAAAGGATGTTGAGAAAGACTATAGTGTTAGATTGTTAGAGTTTCTCTGCATTTTCTTGTGAGTTGAAACAGTAACAAAGTGTTCATGTATTATAAGCATGTGAGTCATTAGTGTTTGCAGAAGTTAAGGCAAATCTGCAGTATTTGTGGCAGAACATCGTTGGGTTTCTTTTCCTTGCTAGTGAGCTTTGGCCTAGGTAAGTTATGAATACCTTTCTAGCTGAACTATGTCCTGCCCTGCGCTTCTGCTTCCTTAAGTGAAAATATGGCTCAAGAGGCAGGCTTCTTTCCTCCAAGTGGACATGACTTGCATGACTTGTCATGTTGGCCCTCTTCCTGGCAGAAATCTTAGATCTTTAGGCAGTGGGATGAAAGATAAAGTAAAATCCTTAGAGGGGAAAGACAAGAGAGTGAGCCAGCAGAGTGGCTCAAGTGGTAGGGTGCCTGCATAGCAAGCTTGAAGCCCTGAGTTCAAACCCTAGTACAGGAGAGGGAGGATAAAGGAATGATGGAGTGGGTGAATTCAACTGTGATATATTGTAAGAACTTCTGTAAATGTTACAGTGTACCTACCCCCAGTACAACAGTAATGATAATAAAAAAGAAAAACCTGGTACCATCAAAAAAGTAAGAGTAATAATTTGAAGGGAAAGCATACTGATAGCATGTACTGGCTAAATTTTTTTCTGCTTTGGGAATGAAAAGTAGAAAATCATTTAAATATACATATATTCTCTCTGCAGTAGTTTCTTTGTAATAAATATGGAAACGGGTTAACGTTGTGTGCAACTTAACATCCTATACAAAACTGGTTAGATTAAAAATTAACTGTTTGACTTGCCGCTGTGTCTTGTGTTTTGTCTTAAACCAGAGCCTGCAAACACTGTAACAATGGCTATAGTACTTCACAGATCTTCTGTTTCCCTTGTGGGGAATCTTGAGTTTTGGTATCTTACCTTTTGTGTTGTTCAGTTACATGGGTCCCCTTTGCCATCTGTGAACCATTGAACCTTTGCTGATTGTATTAAGTCTTGTGCTCAAATAAGTCATAGTGAGGTTTGGACTAAAAGTGAATGCCTGGAAGACCAGTAGGATGCACCTGAGAGTGCTGTAGGGTTGTTCTGCATCCAGTATTTGTAGTGCCCAGCTGGGAAGCTGATGGACTAGTGAAGAAAAGTATAGGGGATTCCTAACAGGTTTTCTACTTTCAGGGAAGTGCTGTGGGTTACTTACTGAAAACATTCAGACGTCCCTCCCTCCCTGCTGAGATGTATTGCCACACCTCACTCTTGGATTTCTTAGAAAGTTAAGACTTTGCTTCCTAAATGGAGCAATACTGCTTTACCCCTTGTTTCTTATTGTGAGCAGGGTGATGATGCCCCTTATAAGGATTGGTGCGGGTGGGAAGTAGGTTGGGAGCTGGAATTATTTGAAATGAGTATGTGATGCAGTGGTTTCTAGGAAAATCTACAAGAGTCAGCTTTGAAACTTAAATTCCAAGGATATATTCACTGATTCTTTGAACTGGGTGCCTGCCTGGCAAGCATGAGGTCCTGAGTTCAAACCCAGTAGTGTGCACACATACACACACACAAAAAAAACTTAAAAATTAAATTGAGAGTAGATACTGTTTTAAATTTGATTCTCATAAATGATGTAGGGAATCTCAAACAGGTAAAAACTATATATCAAAGGTCTGACTTACCTGAGGTTGGACTTGGTTCTGAAGCCTGCCTTTTCCTGATGATTTAAGTGTCCTGGATATTTTAAAGTCTGTCAAAGGTTTTTTTAAATATGGGGTAGAGATGACAGGGAGAAAACTGCTACCTCTCCTACCCTTTGGCCTAGTGGTTTATTTAGCAAGTGCTGTGACATGAGATTCAGGGTGTTGGTTTTTGTTGACTAAGCATAAGAAGGAATGCTGAACTTTCATCATGCTTGGTGTTTCCAGAATGAGAATACAAATGCTGACTTGGAAGCTCTAAGCATTTCACAGCTTTTTACTCCTTGGTGTGAGCTTCCTCTGGAGGGTTATATGCTAGTGTAAGAAAGCCTATCTAAGGTTCACACAGACTTCTGAGTGTTAATCTGCTTATTTGGTGGTAGACACTTTTGTTTAAACCCCTTCCAAAGGGGTTTTTTCTTGGTATGTCCAAGAAAAAATGGCTACTGGGAAAGCATCATGCTGTTGTTGGAGTTTTCAAGACCTACCGTTTTTCCACTGTTCCTTTGGCCTGTCACATGGTTTTTTGTTGTTTTTTGATAGGACAGGAACAAGGCTTCCCACTTGAAAAGCAAGTGCTCTACTGCTTGAGCCATACCTCCAGTCCATTTTGTTTTGGTTTTGAAGATGGCATTTCACCAAACTGTTTGCCCAGTTTGGCCTCAAACCTTTCATCCTGCTGATCGCAGCCTCCCAAGTAAAGTAGCTAGAATTGCAAGTGTGAGCCACTAGAACCCAGCTTTCATCACACAATTATTTAAAAAAAAAAAAAAGTCTGAGAAAAAGACAGGACTAGAAGACATTCAGTGGTAAAGTCCATTCATTGTAGCTGTAGCTGTGGTACTTAAATGTGAACCATTTTACTTGATCAGCTCCTTGGATTCTGTAATACCGAAGGCAGTCCATATGGAACTTTTGCAGACTTAACTGAGGTTTTATTTGTAGTGAGTAAAAAGCAGTTGTTAGCATATTGAGATGCTAGAAATTAGGGTTTGTGGCTTTTTTAGGAAATGGGATCTCTGAAAACAGAAGTTTGCTGAGCTCTGCAATGTGCTTTTAGATACCATGGGCTGCCCCATGTGTCTACGAGCTTCTGTTGCCATTTCTGTAACCTGGAGGGCTTTATCAGCTTTGCTACTATACTTAGGCCTGTCTGACCCTTATAGAGACATAATAGGTGGAGAGGCCAGTTTTTTCTCAGCAATCACATTGAAATTTGTTTTGTTTTTGTCGTTTTTTGTTTCCTTTTGGCAATATTGGGGTTTGAACTCAGGGCTTCCTGCTTGCTAGGCTAGTGCTCTACTGCTTGGGCCAGGACTCCAGCTATTTGCTGATATTTTGGAAGGCTGTATTTGTCTAGTAATAACTTAAAAGAAGGAAAAACGCTTTTTATCAACAAAAAGCTTCTGTGCCAAAAACGAGGTATGGTAGTATGTACCTGTAATCCCAGCACTGCAGTCTGAGGCAGGAGGGTATCCCCACCCTTCCAGCTTTGTCTGTTTGCAGATGTTGTAAACCTGTGAAACCAAATAAGCACAAATGTTGTATACTAGTCTTACTGATAGGGTCTCACTGGGTAGTTCAGGATAGCCTCCAACTTGGTGATCTCCCTGCCTCAGCCTCCCAAATGCTGAGATTACAGACGTGTGTTCTATCACCAGGTTTGTTGATAGAACTTGAAGCTTATTTCTTAGAGGAAAGCTATAGTTACAGAACTACCTCTGTTTATGTTCACAATTTGAAATTTTTTTTAGTTGCAATGGTTAGGGAAAAGGGAAGTACTTGTAACTTCTAAAACAACTAGAGAGAGAAAAGCAACTATGCTTTGTAGTTTTTTTTTGTTTTATTTTTTTTTTCAGGGCCTCAGGCTCGCCAATCTGCCAGCCCTTTTTTGTGATGATTTTTTGCAGGATAGGATCTCACAAGCTGTTTCGCCAGGCACTGGCTTTAAACCCACAATCCTCCTGATTTCTGCTTCCTGAGTGGCTGGGATTATAGACATGAGCCACCAGGTAGGCCAGGTTTTTTATTTAGAGATAAATTTATCAGCTCTTGATCTTGAATTTTTATTCTTTTATCTCCAGTCTGCATTTGGCATTCTGTCTACTAAGTAATCTAATCTGTAAAGGTGGGGTATTTTTGGTTTTTTGTTTTTGCTACTTTAGCAATAGTTACAGCAAAAGAAATAAGAAAATGATATTTTGTTTATAGCCTGATTGTTGGTGTTAACAACTGTTTTCTTAATTCTCCTTTGTGATAAGTGCAAGGGTTTTGTTTTTTTAAACAAAGAGTTGGGTATTAGTTGTCCTCAGTTTCCAGCTCCCAAACTTAGAGTCCTGTGTAGCCACAATAGTATTCTGTCTTGACTTTTTTTTGTTGTTTAAATTTACCCTTCCAGTCTCCACTTCTCAGTTGTTGAAACAATCTGAATATAAATAACTTTACTCATCTCTCCCAGGATCCCATACCATCTGACTGGTTTTTTACATCTCAGGTTTTTCTAGTCTCTTCTTTCAGATCTTTGTGTGGTCTCTTTATGGCCTCTTGAATGTTCCTTGTAATTTGGCATTTATATAAGGTTAAGATTTCATTCTCATCTACTTAAGTCTCCATAAATATGTAGTCACATATTTGGCTAAATGTATTTTTCATGTGCTATATATGATCTTAGGATCTTAAAATTGCTTTGTGGAGATTGCAGGAATACTTTGGACAAGTGGATTTAGACAGTGGGTTTCTCCTAGATTTCAGGTAATAGAACTCCTCTCATTTTTGGACAGTTTTTTTAGGGCTGAAATGAAGTTGAGACTAATAATCAAAAAATGTATTTCAGCTGAGATCTGTGTCTGTGGACCTGAATGTTGATCCCTCACTTCAGATTGACATACCTGATGCACTCAGCGAGAGAGATAAGGTCAAATTTACAGTGCACACCAAGGTAAGTGACAGGATGGCCTTAGTACTACCACCAAGAGCTAGGTTACAGCCTTGTTACTCACAGTGGGTATGAGAGGAGATTCCTTGAACTGAAATGGCTTGTTTGCAGTGTGCCAAACTGCTTATCCTTGTTCTATAGTTGTGTTTCTTCAGCATCCATCTGCTGGGGTGGACCCCTAAGGAAAGGAAACTTACTAGCCAGACCCTCCTACCTACACAGCTGTAATCTTTGGTTCTCTTCCCTAGTCTTCTCTTGGTGCCTTAGTGACCTGATTTAGGGGAAGGGGGGGAGATAAGCCTGAAGACTGGCAGCAAGATCTCTGCCTGAGGTGACCTGATCAAAGTAGATAAAATGATTGGAGTGAAAAGGAGACCAAGGACAATTTCCATAGCAGTAGTGAACTGTAGCTAAGACTTAAAAACCATTGGCCTACTTTTTATCATAATTGAAGTAAGTTCAGTCTTTGACAAATAGAACTAGCATTGTTCTTAATATCCTTTCTTTACAGTAGATTCTTGCCTATTTACATGTTTATGTTAAGCTTTAGAAGGTAGAGTTTTGTGAGGATAATTCTTTAGAGATCAAGTTAGATCCTAGCTGTGACTTTGTAGTGAAGGAGATCATGTATTGTTGCTTTGTTCTTTATTGGATCTTATTTTGATGTTCTGTTACGTAAACATTTCCCATAGTGGAGCACAAGAAACCTGATCCACTTTATCAAGTGGTAGATGCTACTTAACTTCTCCCTTTCTTTACAGACCACACTGCCCACATTTCAGAGCCCAGAGTTTTCTGTTACAAGGCAACATGAAGACTTTGTGTGGCTACACGATACTCTTATTGAAACAGCAGATTATGCGGGGCTTATTGTGAGTGTATTTTGAAAAATGAAATGATTGAGCTGTTTTTTCCTGCCTTACTATTTTGTTTAAGAAGACTTTCAGTCACTTACTGTGTTGTAAAGACTGATTTCATCTTCCTACTAGAGTATTTGCTAACTCTGTTACTTGTAAAGAAGAGTGTTGGTGTAGATGAACCATAATACAGGTTTAGGTTGTGTACATTGTGAGGTTAAACAGTTCAATGGTTCACGTCTTTATCTACTTTTAGGTTACATTTTTCTCTGGTGTTTTTTTCAGGCATTAATAGAATTGATTTCTAGGGAACCGTAGTATTTATTGATGGTTTGAAATTTCTCGGTAGTGCTCAGTAAAAATGAGAAGGACATCCTGTTCTGCTAGGTAGACTAAAGAATCTACCAATTGGTGATCTCAATAATTGAACAAAATTAGTACTTAAAACTTATGTTTAAAGGTTTTTTCCCTTTTGGTACTGGGGATTGAACCCAGGGTATGCATACTAGACATGCACTCTACCACTGAGTTACGTCCCCATCCCAAAAGTTAAGTTCTTGATTATTTCGAATTAGGAAAAAATTCATTCTGCTGCCTGGAGACTTTATTGGTAACTTTGATGGTTGTTGGTTGTTAGTATTGATTTCATTGTGCTCTGCCAGTTGTGTATAAATTGAACAGATGATTACAATCAAAATGCCTGGCTGGGGAGAGTACTTCCTGCTGACTTTTGGATGATTCCACTGGGGTGGATTATCTGGGCACTGGCAAGAGTTGGGTGAGGCACTGATGACTGGCTCTTTGGCACTGGGCAGTAGGCTTACAGGTTACCTACCTCTGCTGCAGATTCCTCCTGCTCCTACAAAACCAGATTTTGATGGCCCTCGAGAGAAGATGCAGAAATTGGGAGAGGGAGAAGGGTCTATGACCAAAGAAGAATTTGCCAAGATGAAGCAAGAACTGGAAGCGTAAGTGAGTTTTCTTGGGCTCTATCTTTAAGTATAGCAGGCAACACCTAGCTGAGAAAAATACTGTACACTTTGCCTTCTATGAGGTTTTCTTGTGAGGCCGTCCTTGGACTTCTGGATCTTGGCTCAAATGCATTCACCCCTTGCCTTCCACCGTCAGCATGTTGCTTAGGGTAGCATGCACACCTCCTCCAGGCACTGAGTCACTAAACACGCACTGGAGACCAGCTCAGGAAGGAAACACCAAACAGCTTCCTACCATTGAAAAGCTTTAAAGTGATCTTCCATCGCCTATGCTAAGATAAGGTCACTTTATAACTCCTGCTAATTCCAAGCTTTATTAGACTAATGCGGTGTATGTAACTACCGAATTAAAGGGTTTTCTTTTTCTTTTTTTAAAAAGACACAAATGTTCTGCAACAGCAGAAAGTACATGTGCAAGGTATTGTTTTGGCCCTGTTGTAGTACTACGTAATGGCATGAGCAGAACAGGAGTGAGTGTTACAGGTCAGATAGTTGAATGATGCCATTTGAGTTCTGTGTGCATGTCTCTTTTCAGTGAGTATCTTGCTGTCTTTAAGAAGACTGTGTCCTCACATGAAGTCTTTCTTCAGCGGCTTTCTTCTCACCCTGTTCTCAGTAAAGATCGCAACTTTCATGTATTCCTGGAATATGATCAGGATGTAAGGGCAATTTTATTTCATCTCCGTCGTCCAGTTAAAATGTATCACTGTACTTTATACTTTCTGGGAGGGAGAAAGACCCTTAAACTGCTGAAGTTCACATCAGTACTGGAAACAAAAAACTGATGCTAATGCCCTCTTTCCCCATAACCATTATAAAGGTCATTTTGTGTTTGACTGTGTTAGGGGCCCCCCCCCCCATTAAGTTTGGTATTGTTAGAAGGAACTTAAATTGATACTACTTTTGAAAGGGCATTTACAAACTTGTGAGGTTTTTTTGAGATAGGGACTTGCTATTGTATTCCATACTAACCTGAAACTTGCTGTGTAGCCCAGGTTGGTCTTGAACTCACAATCATTCTGCCTCATCTTCTCTTGAGCTGGGATTAAAAGCATGGGTCACTACACATAGTTTTTTTTTTTTTTAACATCATAATGCTTATTTATTAATGTGGGACAAGCCTTGACTTGGAAATTTCTAACCTTTGAAGCATAATACACAGTGTATATAGAACTGGATTAAAAAGCCTCTTTAAAACTTGGCACCTACATAATTGTTCAGAATATCTCTTAGGTTAGTCTTTTAGAATAAGATGGCCTGTATTTAGGATTAACTGCTTAATGGATATTTTAGACTTAGTGGTTAAGGCAGAATGAAAGCCATTTTGTGTGTGTGCCTGTGCTAGTAGATTACCTGGTACGTCGTTCAGAACTTAAGAAATCTAAGGAAAAACATGTACTATAAGCTGTTCCTTTTCCTTCCTTTAGCTAAGCGTTAGGCGGAAAAATACCAAAGAGATGTTTGGTGGCTTTTTTAAAAGTGTGGTGAAAAGTGCTGATGAAGTTCTTTTTTCTGGAGTCAAGGTAAGGAACTTTTGGGAGTTCGAGAACATTCTTGATTTCATGGAAATAGATGTCTTTATTTCTTCAGAAGAGATATTTGAAACAAAGGCATTAATTTAAGAAATGGACTGTTGTAATTTGCTCACTCAATTTTCACTTATTTCCTCAAAATACCTTGCTCTTTAGAGAAGTGACATGGACACATTTTTGTTTCTCCTTTTCTGTAAGGATAGGGGTTACTTGATTGATAAAGAAAATATTTCATTTACATACTAGATTTTAAGGACTGAGTACAAATAATATAATGCTTCTCAGTAATGATTTTATTTTTTGAAATGGTTCTTTTTGAACTCAGGGCCTACAACTTGAGCCATTCCACCAGTGTGTGTGTGTGTGTGTGTGCGTGCTTGCTGTTGTGTTTTTTTTTTTTCCTTGTGATAGGGTCTTACAGACAAACTTTGCCAGGGCTGGCTTCAACCAGGAGCCTCCTGATCTCTGCCTCCTGGGTAGCTAGGATTACAAGCATGAGCCACCACTGCCCAGCAAAATGGTTCTATTATTAGATAATACAGTGTTGAATGAGATACTGAAATGAATTTCACCTATTTTGAACAGTGCTGCTGTAGAAAGTACAAGTCTTACCTTCAGCCAAAACTAACTTCTTCCCTCTTCAGATACTCCTTTTTCTTTAATTTTTAAACTGAGTTACTAGGGAGCCCTGGAGAGTAGGCAGTGTGAGGAATTGAGAAACTTTATCAAGTAGAGTGATACTTGATATCATGTTTTAAGGTGTGTGGATTGTTCTGCATCCATGCACTGTGGAATATTCCTGGCCAGTGCCTGCCATATGTACCACTATTGCCTGAGTCTGAAATCAAAGAATTTTCAAAAGTTAAAAACGGAGAAGTTTTAAATAACCCACCCACATATGGGATTAGGTATTCAAGGAAAGGTAAGTGTTTCTTCTGGCAGAACCATTGCACTAGTAGAATTGCTGAGTCTTAGAGGGTTATCAGCTTATAGGCCATCGGCAGATTGTTCAACAAAGTGGTTCTCTTTGCTAACATATCCTTTCAGCACTTGTCGGTCCTGGTTATCAAATAGTACCTTAATGTGTGTGTGTGTGTGTGTGTGTGTGTGTGTGTGTGTAGAGCTGGATTTTCCTTATAAGGAGACTTTAGTCAAAACTATTTATGCCTTAGGAAATAGGATTTCTGAAAACCAAAGTTAGTTTGTAAGTTGTTGAAACTTTTATAAGTTTTTTTTTTTTTTGATTAGGATATATTCATTTTACAGGGTGGGAGAATTCTTAGTGGCAATTCCGATTAGGCTTATATTGTACACAGGTTAAACTTTTTACCCACAAATTTTTTTTGTTTTTTGAAATGGGGCCTCAATAATGTTTGAGCCTAGGCTGCCTTTGAACTCCTGATGCTCCTTCTGCCTTGATCTCCTGAGTACTGGGATTACCCATAATGTTTTTTTCTAGTACAGAATACATATTCATGTTTTTGGACATTCTGCTTTTTTAAGTATCTTTTCCTCCTTTTTTAGGAAGTGGACGACTTCTTTGAGCAAGAGAAGAACTTCCTTATTAACTATTACAACAGGATCAAGGATTCCTGTGCTAAAGCTGACAAAATGACCAGATCTCATAAAAGTAAATACATTTCCCCACAGAACACTGTTCTAGTGTGCCTGCACTCCCATATTAAAAGGCCTGTGCTTATTTCTCCAGGTGTTGCTGATGACTATATCCACACTGCAGCCTGCTTGCATAGCCTGGCCTTAGAAGAGCCCACAGTCATCAAAAAGTAAGTTTTTGTTAGAAGAGCATTTCTCCTGCCTCCTAATAGAAGACTACTGAGTGGTATATTTAAAAGAATTCTGAGTAATGACCGTAACTGCAGTTCTGCCCAAGGCATGGCCTCCAACACCCAAATTATAAGACTGTACACAGGTGCTTCTGAGAGCTGTTGGGAACTTGCAGAACTCTTGTGTAGGTGAATAGTGATTACCCGGGACCTTTTTTTGGTGGTGCTTGAGGTTGAACTCAGGACCTGTTTGTAACTTGAGTTTGAAAATCAGGATAATGTCCGAACCGAGTTGAGAAGGTAACATTTATTGCTTTGTGACACCAGTGTTGGAACCTGACATGGTTCAGGGCATTAGTACATCATACTGCTTTGTGACACCAGTGTTAGAACCTGACATGGTTCAGGGCATTAGTACATTGGAAAAACCATCCTGGATACAAGGCAGTCAGATGAGAGTTGGTGCTGATGGGGCCACTGTAAATGTGCTCAATTTTATAACCATCTTCTTTACTATTTAGGCTAATTGAAGTTAAGCACTACTTAGGATTCTTAATTCATAGACAGTTCAAGACTTTAATTCATAGACAATTCAAGACTTTAAGCTACAACTTTGTGTATATTTTCAGGTACCTATTGAAGGTTGCTGAACTATTTGAAAAACTTAGGGTAAGGATTTTGTGTTGATCCTCAATAAGTACTTTATATTCTGTAGATGGCTGCCTTGATGGTGACCCTTTCTTTTTTTTTTTTTTTTTAAACAGAAAGTAGAGGGTCGAGTTTCATCAGATGAAGATTTAAAGCTGACAGAGCTCCTGCGATACTACATGCTCAACATAGAGGCTGCAAAGGTAAGGTAGGAAGTTTAACCCATCAGCAGTGATCACCCTGCCATGAGCAGAATTTAATGCCAGAGATACTCCTTTTTTGTTAAAAGTTACTTTATGTTCAGGAATAAGATAGGAACTTACCAGACTTGATCATGTAAGTGAAATTTTTTGCTGCACTGTAATTAAAGTTGAAAAGGTAAGCAGAACAGCCTTTGTGAATAAAATGCTTGTTCTTGTCCGCAAAAGGTCTCCATAGGTCTTTTGGCATATTTTCTAAGTCTTAAGTTGTACATGTTTTAATGCTCTTTTTAGACTTTTAATTTATTTTGTAGTTTCATAGAATTAAGAGCTCACTTACAAATTTTCACATACACAAAAATAGATTATAGATTCACTAGTTTTTAGAAACTAAGTAAAATCCACTTTACACATGCATTATAATTACCAATTTTAGATACTGAGATAATTTCTATTTGCCATAAGATTATAAAGAAAATTAGGTGGAACCCCCGTGTAGATTTTCAGAAGCAGGATGTGCAGGTCCAGGGTCCTGTGTTCTTTGCTACTTTATTGCTCAGCGTTCTAACAGCATTCCACTTGACTCCTCAGTGGTAACTGTGCATGTGTTTTAAATACAGTATGCTTAATTTTCTGAAACTTAACTGAGTCAACTAGGAAAGAAACTGTTTATTGGACTTTTTCTTCACCTAATCCATTTACAGAATTCTGAAAATACTCTAAAAATGTGGAGTTGTGCATCCCTGCTAAATCTTTTCCTGTATTACGGTCTCAGACCTCGCATGCTTGCTGGGCAGGTACTTTACCCCTTGAGCCAAGCTGCCAGCCTTTTTTTTTAAAAGTGGACATGAGGCAGTTAGAGCCACATGCAGATAACCTGCTTTTCTCCTTTACTTTTTTTATGTTGCTTGGGGCTGAACCCAGGACCTTGCATATATACTAGGCAAGTGCTTACTAATGATAGACACACACTAGATTTTTATGTTATGGCTATTAATTTTCTTCTCAGGATCTCTTATACAGGCGTACCAAAGCCCTTATTGACTATGAGAACTCAAACAAAGCTTTGGACAAAGCCCGGTTGAAAAGCAAAGATGTCAAGTTGGCTGAGGCACACCAGCAGGAATGCTGCCGGAAATTTGAACAGCTTTCTGAGTCTGCAAAAGAAGGTTGAATATTTTTCTGTACTTCTTATATTTTATTTGGAAATAATTTCAAGTTATAGAAAGGAAAAGGTGTATTGATTATTATAAAGCACCCATATAGGGCTGGGAATCGACCTCAGCTGTACAGCACTTGACTAGCTTGCACAAGGACCCTGGGTTCCATCCGTAGTCTCGGGGAATAAAGGGAAGAGAAAATTTGTAAATAAAAATTTTGTTGTTTATAAAAATAAAGTTTAAATTATAATTTAAAAAGAAGAAAACTCCTATATCCTTCACCTAGTGTTAACACTTTCCCCTGTCTGCTTTCTCATTTGTGTGCTCATGCTCTATCCCTTGAGCTAAACAGTATAAATTCTTCATAAATAGAATGTTCCTCATTTTTAGTTGGTCTGTTTTCCAAAAGAATACCAAATAAGTGTTCATCCCATTTGTGGTATTGATTTAAATTATCTAGTCAGACAGTGTTTGCTGTGTACTCCCTCCCACATTCATGGGGGGCAGTTTCAGGCCACACATATCCTGCTCTTCCTCTCCAGGCATGGCATGTACTGATGACTCAAAGGTTGCCTGAACCAGCCTATATTTTGATGGTTGCAAAAATAAGGTTCACTGTACCTCCAGCTATAGCATTCATTCCATACCTATGTCAGAACTGGGCCTCATGCTACAAACAAGACCCTTCCTAATTTATTGTCTTTATTAGAGTCCAATGCATTACCCTTTAAAAATAAACACTTTAGAACTCATTGTCCTAAATTATTTTGGTGCTCAGGTTTTATGTTTTTTGTGACATGCACATTTTGTGTTCATGTTTATTCATTTATTTTGAGCAATAGTTATATGCCAATCTTACACTTTGTGCAAATGCTGAGATTAGAGGCCACCACACCTAGATGTTTTGTTTTGTTTTTGCTTGTGTAGTCCTGGGAATTGAGCCTAAGGCCTTATTCATGCTAGACAAACATTCTACCATACAGCAGCACCTCTAGTCCTACAGATAACTTAATTGAGAGTTAATGTACTGCTACCATTGTGGAACTTCCCTGGTGTTGCAGGGTCATGAAAAATATGCCAGTGCAAATGTTGTAGTACATATTTTAGAATATAGTGGAACATTGGATTTGACTTGCCCCATACCTAAAGTTTCTATGAGAAATTCCTATCAAATTTTAAGACAGTTGTCTCAGAACTCTTGTTTGCAATGATAAAGAGATCTAACTTTATCTGGAAATGTCCTTAATACTAGCGATGGTCTATTTAGCAACATCCTTGAAATTACCTACAATGTTTAAAGTTGGGATGTCTAGAGTTTTAGTCATTTGTCTTCATGTCTATTCAGGGTAATAATGCTTAACTGCAAGGCACGGAGGTTTTTTTTTACAGTAACTTGGCAAGTGACATGCAGTCATGCCTGTTTCTATAGTAACCTTCATGGTGTTCTATGCTCAGAATGAATTCTTGCCTTTGGGGTTTAGATGGTAATGGATTTAAACTCTCAGGGCCTTGTGCTTGTTAAGTAGGTGCTTTACCATTTGAGCTATGCTCCCATCCCTGAATTCTTGCCTGTTTTAAAACAGCTGTTTTTTTTTTTCTTTTTGAGACAGGGTTCAACTCATGTAAATTTATAATGAATGCACTTTGAAACTGTAGAGTTGAAATCTTAAGTTCATAGGTAGGTCGGACTTTGGCAACATGGGTGTTAACTTTTTTTGTGTGAATTTCTGCTTTTTAGCATGACTACTTGCATTGTAGTCTGTTGAGCAGCACTATAAACAGTGGGCAGTAGGATGAGTTAGCTCCTTTGAACTCAAGTGTCAGCATGGATTACAGAGGTTTCTTACTAGAGGGGTGAAGACTAAAGCTGGGAGGCAGAGCGTAATGTCTGTCAAACCTTCACCGAAGAGATTACAGGCAGGAGGACATTCTAGGTTTGCCCTAATTTTCAATAGACTTCTGTGACAATAGAAAGGAAACCAGATGGAAAGTTGGCACGTTCTGTAGATTGTGTGCAAAGCAGCACTTTAAAATTTAAAAAAAAGTTCAACTCGGTGTTATTTTTCATCTTTTGATAACTTTTTTTTTTTTTTTTTTTTTTTGCTGAACCTTTTTCCTGAATTTGGTGATCAGTTATTTATGAGAATGGTATTTTGAAGCTATAGTGAATGTGAAAATTGAATTTGGTTTGGTAACAAAAATTTTTAATTTTTTCCCCCCTCCCCCCCCAATAGAACTAATAAATTTCAAACGGAAGAGAGTGGCAGCATTTAGAAAGAATCTAATTGAAATGTCTGAACTGGAAATAAAGCACGCCAGAGTAAGTGTTTTCTACACATCTTTAAGTGAGAACTTCATAAAGCAGTAATAACAGAATCATTAAGGGCTATTACTTGTTTTATAATACCACTTATAACTAATTTCTAGGGACTTGTATTTAGTCTTTCTTTAGGCATCAGTTTCCATTGTGGGCAGAGGTGTTGGACTAGTATAGTACCCACTGGCTCCTTGGCCTGCAGCTCTCCCAGTCCAGCTGCTCTGGGGAGAATATCCCTGTGAAATGGAAAGGGGACAAAGTAGTTGGAGTTTAATTGTGGTTTAGTGAGGGAGCACAGCCCAGTTTGACAGGCTTCAGATCTCTTGGAAAGCTGTGTTAGTGGGTTTGTGTTTCTTAGATTCTAGAGGCAGTTGATTTACCTTGGCTGGTTTTGGTTTACTTGTTTTTTCTCCCCTCCCCCCCAGAACAATGTCTCCCTCTTGCAGAGCTGCATTGACTTGTTCAAGAACAACTGATTTGCCTTTACTCTGAAGGAATGAAACAAATGTGAAAGCCAGCATCACTTGCACTTACCATTACCACAGAAGATGAATAGTATTGATTTTAGTTTAAAATTATGTGAATAAATACTTTGATTTCTAAAAATCTTAACACTTAACCATGTTGGTTTAAAAATATTTTCATTGCATGCTACTTGGATATGACTAATCTTTTCCTTATGCATTTAATACCTCAAAGTGGGTAGGATCTAAATATTGGATTCTCCTGTAGTTTGTCTTTAGTAACTAAGAAAAGGTGTAGGAGACATGTGCCTTCTGGAAACAGTTGAAGCAATCACCTGGCCCATGTCTGTCTCAACAATTCCTGTGCCCATGTCCCTATAGACTGATTCTATCAGGGAGGTGCCAGATACAACAAACAATAACAGCTACATTTTACAGGTAATAGACATTCCTTCATTTGGTATTTCTTTGCTCCGTTACTATCATGGTTCTTCAGTTATTTCAAGTCTTCCTAAACCAAGGGCAAGATCTCATTTGTCTTTATTCACCCTTTGTACCTCCATTTTTATGTTTCTATCAAAGGAAGAGAAGTTATTTAGGGCTATGCACAGTAGCATAATATGGCCTGCTTTACAAAATGGCCTGGTTTGGTCTATACAAGGAAGATCTGAGTTCCCCCTACCTGATATGTGTGGAGGGTGTCATGTGTGCTTGGGCTTTTTTTTTTTTTTTTTTTTATGTACATAATAAAATAATACATCATACTACTGGATGGAGTGTTTCTGTGGAAAACAAGGCCAGTGTGTGTCCCAAGAATGCAATTGGGTTACCCAATCCTTGGCCATGCTGAGGGATTCATTGCCTAATTACCACAGGCCACCTTTCTAGTCTCAACATTATTGAGTATTGTTTTTCTTAGATGTCCTTGTCTGTGTCTGTTCTCAATTTGATTTAGCTGGGTCTTTAAGTGATGCTGTGTCCCAGAGTGTGTCATCCTTTGTTGGTGACTCACCACTGGTGTCTGCCAGGTTTTCTCTGCTGCAGTGCTTACTTTTTGTAATAGTTTACTCCTGAAGATATTTTTAAACTAGGTAATTCATTTTACCCACATCATTAGCTTGTTTGTAACTAGTAACTGTAATGAGGGTTACAGAACTGGTATTTGAACACCACAGGGAAGGAATACTTATATATCAACTGATGTCTTGCCTCCCAGTTAGTTACTGGTAGCCAAAGTTGTGTGGGCACAGCACCTACTGCCTCCATAGTACCTTTATGTGGAAAATGTGTACAAAATAAGTGAATTTAAGCTCTGGCATTGAATCTTCTGGTTCCACCCTCTGTCCTTAACTGTCTTGCCCCATACTGTGTTCATAGTAGCACGAGTACACTGTCCTGTGTTTGGATGAGTGATAGGAAAGAGCTTGTGCTTCAGTACGCAGGTGCTTGCACCACAACTGCTTGAGCACCCATTTGATCAGACCTGGTTCAGTGAGCTTGGGTTCCTTGGACTAGATATGTTGCTGGGTATAAGGTAGCCAGGAGTAGCCTGAGCAGCCTCCTACTCTGAGCCAACTGAATCCATGCTTGAGTGGCCACCAATATCCTGAATAAAATGGGAACTAGATGCTGCCTGACCACTCTAGGGGTCAAATCTGAGGACAGTGGAGCTGAGACTTGAGAAAACAGGCTCAGTACAGTTCTCAGCAGGATCCCCTTAAAACACTAGCCTGCTTTACAAAATGGCCTGGTTTGGTCTATATAAGGAAGATCTGAGTTCCCCCTACCTCCTGCTGAGGGTACAGGTGGCCTTAAGCCACATACAGAACTGTTCCTCCTGGTGGTGGTTTGAGGCTTCCTTGAAAGGAAATCCCAAAATGCACAGTTCTATGGAACCTTTCCAGAAGGGTTCTGGAAGCAAGGGTGGAAGTGAAAGGGAAGTGGTTTTAAAGCTGGGCCACCTCGGAGACCAAGCCAAAGACTAACCTCCTGGTTACACAGCTGGAAGGTTGCATCATTGCACACACAAAACCACAAACCACAGGATGCACATTTCTTCTGAAGAAAAGCAGTAGTGATGTTCGTAAGCAAGGGAAGACCACCTCTAAAGTCTTTGTAGAAAGTTGACATCACATTGGGCTGCTGGTGATGGGTGAGCTTACATCCCAAAGTCCTCACTAGTTCCACCCAGCAGGTGTGTTTCCTCCAGTTGCCTTACCTTTGCACGTTGAAATAATGGCTAGCCTCTTTGGGCTTTTCCATTGGAAGGTATTCAGATGAGGAAGTGTGTGAGTTGTACCATCAACCTTCTGTCTATAGGCAACAGGCAAGACCTGCAGCCACCCATTCAGACCTGGCATCCTGATGGGGCTCAGATAACCTGGCAGAACTGCAGAGTTGCTCAGGTCATCATCCTATGGTTAAAGTTATAATTATAGCAGGAAGTCTTGTAGTCCTCTAGTAGTTTTGCTTGGTGACTTCCCAGGCCTGTTGGAGGCACTACCTGTGACCCTAGGCATAACCTATCTGAGAGGAAGGCAGGAAGAGAACAGGATTGGGGCTGAAAGGCCCAAGGACACTCTCCCTTTGCCCCTTTATTGACACATACATGGTCCTCCTTGCTTGGGTGGGCCCTCCAAAGTGATTCCTCATTGGAGGTTTGGTGGACTTTTTTGCTTTTAATCTTTATATACAATTGCAAAAGTAATACATATTTGTAAGGGATTCAAACAAAATGAATACAAAGTAAAAATCCCATATTTTACCACATTGCATAAATAATGGTTAAATGTTTGTAGATTTCTTTCCTATTCATTTATGTGTGTCTTAAGATAATTGAATTTCTGGAGGTGTCCAACTGTTCTTCCTGTGGAATGGGAGAGGTCTTACTGGCAGGTTGGGTGCTGGGAATATAACAAAGTATTGCCTATGGTTGGCAAGTACTCTATTCCTTAGCCATATCTTAGCCTCTCCTTTTGGACTAGTCCCCATGGAGCTCCATGGAATACTCCAGAGGCCCTTCTACTACTCTGCTTACCACCAGAAAAGGACAGTTTCCTGCAGAGAAGGGTATCTTGGTCCTCCAAGCCTCTTCCCCACTGTTGGCAACTCTCACCCCACCCACCCTCTGCAAGGCTTCATTAGCTAGGAGTTGTGAATTTAGGAAACTTTGGGGAGGACTCACAAAACTTTGAAACTTGATATATCCAGGAAAAGAAGAGCCTTTAATCCCAGCCCAGCCATTTTTATTATTCACAGTTGCCTTCTAGCTCTTGTCCATGCTTTAGTTCATCTGGTAATGGTGGTGGTTTCACCAAGCTTGCTTTGAGGATAACGTGGAAGACTTGCTAGCCTCTTGTTTAGGAACTGTTGATTATGGGGCCTTTCCTTTGAACTGCCACTTTGCAGATTCTTTCCTGTCATTTTGGTGGGATTTGGAGATGGGTTGGGGATTGTTTATTTGTTGTTTGCTGTACCCCCCTCCACATTGCAAAACCAGAGGAGGAGATAATTCGTCCTCTCAGTGGTTAAGAGGGAGGCAAAGTCCCCAAACAGTGCCTCTGGGTGTATCATTGACTTCCCATCCAGACCCCACGCCTCTGGTCATTCTTGGCATAGTTCATGTAAATTCCAGCTTCCTCTTGTCAGGCCCTGCCCTAGGTCAGTGAGATTTTTGTAAAGCAGCTGAACACTTGACTGAAGGGTGGAAACCAAATGGGCTGGCCTTTGAGAACCCAGCTGGGTCCAGCTTTGACTATTGGGGCCTCTTCTCCTTGAACTTCTTATTTGTATCATAAGCCCATGATTTGGGTGGCTGGGCAGAAAACATGACAGGAATAGGAGGAAGAATTCATGAAAAGATCCTAAAGGCACAGGAAAAGAAGCCAATGAGAGTGTGCAAACAGACTGCATGCAAAGCCCACTCCTTCAGGCAAAGCTGATCTTGGCCTGCCCAGCGAATGCCTGAGAAGACAGGAAATCCCAAGTCTGAGGCTGCCTGGGAAGAAACATTGGGAACAAATGACTGCTGTGCATCTCAACAGGCCTTGCACTAGATGTTTTTCTAAAGTCTGGTTCATGTCTGCAGTGCTTTGTGACCCGGTTTACAGTCTGTTAAAGCTTATCACACTGGAAGAGAATGAAATGGACCAGATGTGACTTGCCTTAGAGTTGGGGACAAGAGATGAAGCTAATAATGAGGTACACGGACCCTGGTGGGGAGAGTTAAGAGGGATGTGGGGTCTGGAGGCTGGAGTTGTCATGACCGCTCCCTCACTGAGGACTTGGTTGGGGTCTGATTTTAGCCTAGCTCAGAGCTGGGTTTAACCTAAATTCCCCAAACCCATTGTCACCCCCTTAGGTCTTGTTCACACAACCAAAGGAATCTTTTTGAAATGACAGTCAAGTTATGCTCCTTCTCTGCCAAACCCTCTATGACTTACCAGCAAATGGTGTTTTCAGAAGATCTTGGTCCTTGCATTCCATATGGAACAGTCCAAGCAGAACACATAGACTAGCTTTATTGAGGGAAGGGCAGTCACGCCTTCTGCCAGGTGAGGGAAGGGAAGAAGACGACCAGGATGTCTTGGTAGGTTTTTATACTACCTTGAACTTGGAGGTGGGGAGACAATATGTCACCTGTGGGCTCGAGGGAGGAGCCCTTGAGCCAAGAGGGGGAGCACTCCCACACTATCCCTAACCTAGCCTGCTTAAATTCCACCTGAGGGACAATATTCCCAAAATTCTCTTTAGGGGTTGCTGAAGAGGGGTGTCCATCTTTAGTAGCTGCTTCAAGCCAACATGGGGCTGTAGAACCTGCCTATCAGGAATATTGCCCCTTTCCTGTTGCTGTCCCTGGTGACTTGAACAGTGAAGTTCATGGTCTGAATCTTTGTCCAGCCCAATCAGAATTATGGGCATCTTGTCCACCTCCAGAAGTTGATGGCCCTGTTGTGTCATGGTTTTGGGTTTTAAAGGCTTTTATGCTGGAAGAAGTATATCCGATTTAGAAAGCAAGACCTGAACATCAGTAATGATAGGAGCATCAGAAGGGGCCCTGCCAGGTGTGGGAAAAAGGATAAAGTAATTTTGAAAAGTGACAGAGTCTCAAATGGTTACTTTGCCTACAGGTGTTTATCTCTTAACTAT